CGTCATTTGTTGTTGGAAAAGCATGTTCTTCATGTTTTTTTACCATTTGTGTTGCCATTTGTTTAAAGTTGTGAAACTTTGGGTATGGCAGATTGTCATCATCTTCTTTGGAAAGATGAAGAGTTGTATGGTCCTCACCATGTTTCGCTGTGAATGGGTTTTCCCATTCAGACTCTGATCTTTGTGTGGCGAGTTAGTCATCCCATTGTGGCAAATATTCATCAAGAAAATCTTTTTGGTTTTTTGAAAATTCTTCTCGTAGGACAAGGATCTTTCCACCACTTCTTTCATCATCATCCCAATCACTTGTTTTGTCCATAATTGTCACTTTTCCTGGGGTAATTTCATCATCTAGGAATTCATCTCCCCAGCCAATTGCTGCAATTTCTTCTATTGAAGTTGTGCTTACTAAGGTATCGTACTTGACATAATAGTCCCATTTTCCAGATGGTTCACCAAGAGTTGACCATTTATGTTTTGATCGTGTTGGCTTATTGGAACGTATTGTTGTGTTCAGTGGCTCATTCTCCAAGATCCTTGCTTCATCCAGACATTCTTAACAGAAACATATATCATAGGGGATATGTTTTGTCTGCGGTGTTTGAAAACATACTCCTATAAAATGTTCTTCATCTTCGTCCAAATGATCGTTACCTAGTACTTCTCGATCATTCTGGTCAACAGAGTATTTTTCTGGTTGGGGGGGTCGGCGATATCTTTCAAATTGGAGACTTAATGATTTGTTAAGCCTTTCATGTACCGCTACTCTTGATGGTACGCTTACTGATGTTTGCTCAGATGGCTTTAGATTCCAGGTCATTCCTTCAAGCTCTTCTATACTCCTTCTTTCACCAGAAATTTTCGTGATGCCATTTGTTGTGAGATGGTCCACAATATTTTCTACATTATATTGGAATCCCATATAGCTAGTGTTTTATAGCCTACCCGTTATGGATATTGTAATCAAAAGATTACTTTCTCCTCCTTGCCAAGTTTCATACCCATGAGTTTGTATGACAACTTCTACATGATTATGGAAGTCCTCGATACTTAGAACCATATCAGGGAACATGTAGACTAGCTGCGTTCCTACAGAGAGGTCGACTTCCATAGTTCCAATGATTTGTTGACTATCTTTCCATCTAGTGTCTCGAAGGACAACTAGAGCATTTGTTCCCGCACTTCTCCTGTGGAGTGAATGTAGCCTGATCATGAATATTCCTAGGTGAATATGTTGGAGCCCTGAAGTCCTCAAGTTCTGGTAGCTTTCTTGATAACACAGTCGAAGGTTAACTTGATTTTCTCCAACACATAGGATTCTTTGCTCAGAGTAGTGTTCATAGAATCTATGTCTTGTAGTACTTCTATTGTTTGAATAAAGTACCTCTGCTGGAACAAAATTTTCCCTTCTCTCTCTTGATATTTCAAGTTGTCTTTCTGGATCTACAACAGACTCCAAGGTGCGATTATAGCTGTTTCTTCCAAATACTCTTCTTGTTGCCCTAGCTGCTTGATATTTGTTTCGCGTCATTTGTCAATAACCACGAATTTGATCTTCTTGAGTTGGGAGTTCTGTTTGAGTTTGTGTGGAACTCCTATTAAGGATGTTAGGCCTTCGGAAAGTCATTTCTTTAATTCTTTCCCAAACTGTTCTTTAAAGATTTTGTTGGGATCTTCAAAGATGTAGATTTGCCTGTTACTTTTCTTTACTGGAAGTTTCCCACTAATAGAGAAATTATCAAGTCTTCTGGTTAAGCTTGATATTGAGTCTTCAAGATCTGCTGGCTGAGTATTTTGTTTGATAATAGTTTGAACCTCTTGTTTGAGCTTGTCAATCTTTTCTTCAATCTCAATCAGCTTCTGACTTTGCTTAGTTGCTAAGTAAAGCAAGGTGTTGTTTTGTTTTATAACAGCCTTTACTTGGCTAACTATAGCTTTTTTGTAGTTGGTTGTTTTTGCAAAACCAACTACTGGTGATTCAAAGTCTTCAGTGGCTTGTATGGCTTCCTGATACTCAGTAGTTGCCTTTTGATTGGCAATACTCATCCGATGATGAGCCTCTTGACTTCGTGAAGAAGATTTTCAACCTTCTGGGTTTTATGATTGAGTTCTTCTGTTAGTCTGAGGGCTTCTTTCTCAACTAATTTGGTTGCTCAGCTATTTCTTGAACAAGGCTCAGGACTTCTCTTTTTGTGAGTGGTTTAGATTGATGGATCTCAGTTGAGATTTGTTGAAAGCTTTTTCTGGTTTCACTCTGAGTTTTTCTTAATAACTCCTCACAGGATTCAAGCTTCTTTTGACAACTTTCGACTTTTGGCTCAAGATCCTTTTATTTTTCAAAAATACTTTTAAAATTCTTAAGTGCTACTTTAGAAAAGAGATTTAAACGATTATAAATACAAGCTAAATTATTGGCTAAATCGGTAGTTGTAGGTTTAGGACTATTTTCTTTAAAAATGATATACTCAAGATCCACAGTTCGTGAATTATCGTACCAATTTTGTATCTCTTACTCAAAGCGGTCGGATGTAACATAAAAACTTCAAAGGTTTATATTTACAAACTTGTTTTAAGACTCACCAAACGGTTAACTTCAACCACTTACCGACTCTTTCGGTTTTAATAGAAGCAATTGCGCTGTCTTTTATCTAAAAACAAGGGTTTTTATGAAGTTGTTAACAAAAATGTTACCATAGAAATACAAGAAATTGATAAAATAATACCTTTACTGTTTTTCATGAATATACCTTAGGGGTTTAGCATTCCATAGAGCTAAGAACGTTTTGATTCAAAGCTCTGATACCAAGATAAAAATTACGTTGCCAGGAATTTTTATAGGTAAAAAAATTACGTTGCCAACGCCGAGAATTTTTATATTTTACTTAAAGCTCAAAAACTAAAACTTTAAAACTACAAGGATTACTTAGAACACACCTATTTATTAAAATATTGCGGAAGCTTTGATACAATGGTAGTGGTGGTGATTGTAGGTGAATGGATTCGATGATCTCAAACTTAGAACTTATGCCCTTATATAGATGGGCTTACAAACTATTGGACAAGAATAAAAACGTAAGCGATGACGTTTAAACAAGGGCCATTAGTTAATTTGTTACATGTGGCCGACAATCTTGATAATTATAAAGATACTTTTCACAAGTAGTGAGGACTTCTTGATGACTTCTGAACATCCAAACAACTTAATTTTTGAAAACCCGTGATATGTGAAATAATTTCACATACGGGCTCTTCTAGCTTTTGGATAAAGGTATGGATCCATGGGACGATTCAATTTTATCGTTTTTAGACAATAATCATCCCAAGTACAAGTATTACTTAGAACACACCTTTTTATTAAAATACTGCGGAAGCTTTGATATAATGGTAGTGGTGGTGATTGTAGGTGAATGGATTCAATGATCTCAAACTTAGAACTTATGCCCTTATATAGATGGGCTTACAAACTATTGGACAAGAATAAAAACGTAAGTGATGACGTTTAAACAAGGGCCATTATTTAATTTGTTACATGTGACCGACAATCTTGATAATTATAAAGATATTTTTAACAAGTGGTGGAGACTTCTTGATGACTTCTGAACATCCAAACAACTCAACTTTTGAAAACCCGTAGTATGTGAAATAATTTTACATACGGGCCCTTCTAGCTTTTGGATAAAAGGTATGGATCCATGGGCCGACAGTCTTTTAACAAGTGGTGGGAATTTCTTGATAAAAAAATTACGTTGCCAGCGCCAGGAATTTTTATATTATACCTAAAGCTCAAAAACTAAAACTTTAAAAGTACAAGTATTACTTAGAACACACCTCTATATTAAAATGTTGCGGAAGCTTTGATACAATGGTAGTGGTGGTGATTGTAAGTGAATGGATTCGATGATCTCAAACTTAGAACTTATGCCCTTATATAGATGGGCTTACAAACTATTGGACAAAAATAAAAACGTAAGCGATGATGTTTAAACAAGGGCCATTATTTAATTTGTTACATGTGGCGACAATCTTGATAATTATAAAGATACTTTGAACAAGTGGTGGGAACTTCTTGATGACTTCTGAACATCCAAACAACTCAACTTTTGAAAATCCATGATATGTGAAAGATAGGAGCCTTCTAGCTGCTGGATAAAGGTATGGATCCATGGGAGATGAATTGAGGGTTGATTTCAAAACTCAAGGTCCATGTTTTAGAAATGATTGAATTCAAAACTTTAGGTTCAAATTTCAGAATTTGAGGGATCAAAAACCCTCTAGTAAAAGTATTTTAACAAAGGAATTTCAGAATTTGAGAGATCGAAAACCCTCTAGTAAAAGTATTTTAACAATGGTTGATATTATTAGTAGATGTTACTCGAACCACGTTTTTTCTATATATATCGGCATTTCATAGAGATTATTATGTCAGCTATATATCACTACCCATGATTAACTAAAATTATTGGTGCCTCCAAATTTGAATATAATCAACATTTTTTTATTTGTATTTGTTTATGAATATTGATTTTGAGAGTTATATACGTGAGACAAAATATACTAAATGGATCTTAATATATACTAAATGAATCTTAACATATTTCTTTGCTCTATTTCAAAAAGTGATTTCGATTTCAAAAAATTAAAGGTCAATTTTAAAATTTGAGGGACAATTTCAAAAAGTGAGGGTCAATTTTCATAAACTGAGGGTCGATTTCTTTACTAAGCGTTGCTTAACGCTTCATGAAAGAGCTGAAAAACGACCGTGGTCGAGTTAAGGAATCGCATCACATTATAGGGTTTGAAGAGCGCAGATACTCATCGCTTTTTTAAACCAAGGTATCAACATTGATGCTTGAATTGATTTTCCTAAACGAAGTCGGTCCAAAAATCATCAAAGGAGAAGGAACCCCACCCTCACCCCTTTCGCATAGCCATCAACAATGATGAAGAAATATTCAAAATAAAACCAACCAACAAAACTTTTAGATCTAACATAAAGAGAATTAAGTCGGTGATGTGCACATACAATCAATGTTATCAAGGTCGTTCAAATTAATCCCGTCTGCTATGTTCCCTACTGTCATATCGCGTGCTGCGACCTCGACCTCGCTCTTCCTCCTTGCTCCTCTTAGTATGACCAACTTTTTTCCTATCATATGAATCTTCATCACTGTATCTCTTCTTCCTACTACCATATGAGTCATCACCTCGCCTTCTATCATCATTCCTACTTGTTCTATAATCTCTTTCACCATCATCTTCATCACCAACTTTTTTCCTATCATACGACTCCTCAGCTCTACCATCTCGCCCCCTCCTCCTATCAATATCAATATCATCATCACTACGACCTCCTCTGTGTCTATCTCTATCTCTATCTCTATCATCATTCTTACTTGCTCTATGATAATCCGCCTCATCTCTCTTCTTGTAGTAGGAATCTTTTATATTGTGTCTATTATCTCGCCTATTATCATCTTTTCTTCTATCCCCCGACCACTCTTTATCATGTCTGTATAAATCCTTTTGTTTTCTTTCATCCATAACCACTTTTCGTTTCTCTTTACCATCATCCACCTCAACATGTTTGTTTCTTTTTGGACTTGCATGTGTGTCCTCATCAAACACCATGTCATACCTAGAAAATAAAATCCATCTTAGTATTGTTCATGATGATATATGGATATGGATATGTTTAGCAACCAACCTGGAGCTATCATTGGAACCTCTTCTGTTGAAACCATCGTCCTTCAAGATGTATTTTGGAGGTTCAGAGTTCCCAGAACAGTCTTTTGCAATGTGATCAAGAGACCCACATTTGAAGCAACCTTTATTACCTCCTACAAAAACATACAGCTGTCATACAAACAACTGAAAATGTAACAAACATAACCAACCTTCTTTATAAATAATTTTTACCATTTCCAGCTTGATTGCTGCCTTTACGCCTGTATTGGTTCCATAACTTTGAAACACTTTGACTGAAATCCACATGTATCCTCCGATCATCTATTAAGGCATTATCCATCTGCCATCAAACACTTTTTTTTAGAAATCTATCTATTTCATTTTTCACAACAAGATTTGTAAATTTAAACCAAAAAAAATGTAACGTGTACCTTGAAGTATGCTTGTTCGCAAGCTTCTTTATCATCAAACTCTGGAATATAAATGACAAGATCACCATATTTATATTATATTATCATATCACTCTCACACACACAAACATAACAAAAGTGATAAGATATGAAGTATCATACAGGTACACATGATTTTTGAACATCAATGGTGAGAATAATAAACATGTTGGAGCATAAGGGAATTGGTTGTTACATTCCATTATCATGTTTTGTTTGTTTTAAGGAATGAAATAAGTCATTCAAGCAGTTTGTTTGTAGCACATGATTGAATTGGAATTGGAATTGGACACCCGAATGAAACTAATTTAATGAATAAAACAACAATGTTATCCTACAATAAACCTTTAATCAAATAAAGTTACACCAATAAACTAGTTAGCAGTTACATACAAACATATGACATCATATTCATTTTAGAATTCTAAAAAATTAATTTGTATATACACCCATGAAATCCCAAATAGAATTCTAAAAAAATAACATAATTAAAATTTTGAAACTTTTAAAAGGCATCATCTGTAACTGAAATGAATCAGTAAATCATGATGATTGCAAACATCAATCATACATAGATAGATATCAATCGGCTTCATAAATGATATCAATCCAAAATGAAAATTATAGGCTTCAATACCCAATGAAAGTTTATAAAATTGAAGAAAAAATACAAATACTCACCAATAAAGGCATAGCACAAGCTGTCTCCAGTTTTAAAGTCACGGATTATTTCAGCTCTGCCAAATTTCATAATAAATTACTATAATTTATAATTCCAACACCAAAACTATAAAACAAGAAATACAACCATTTAAATAACTTACGAGCTCACACTTCCAAATCGTGAAAAGATTGTATGCAGATCCTCATCCTAAAAAGCATAGAGGGGATATAAGAAACAAAAATAATATATAATAGGTAGAAAGAAAAAAAAAATCAATAGAAAGAGATATAATATAACTTACTTCAGTCACTGGATTTAGTTTGCATACAAAGAGCACATTATCAGGAGGCTTTATCTCAGCATCTGGAATGTCCCCTATCTGGAAAATCCAAAACCAAAACAAACAAATCTTTAAAAAATACAAATTACCAAAACTAGAATATTATAAAAATAATCATTGAAGTCATGAATGCATACACTTTCAAGCACAACAGCTCTAGAATGTGCTTCTTTGGCACGAATAACCTCCTCAAGTTCTCCTGCACCTAATTGTTCATCCATGGGAACCCAATCGTCTTCAAGCCTCACTTCATCATCAACCTATTTGTTTGTTACAAATACAATTTTATAAATTAAAAAAAAAAAAAAAAAAAAAAAAAAAAAAAAAAAAAAGGTGTTTATGAAATATCAATCAAAGACATTAATTAATACCTCATCTTTTGGCTTTCCTTCAGGAGAAGCATCTGGAACTAGCTCAGCTAGCTGTGGAGGGTCCTCAAAAGGATCATCTAGTATATATGTATGTTTGATGCTGCAGACAAAACATTCATTTTGCATGTTAGTGTTAAAATTAGGAAATTTATGAGAATATTAAATGTGAAACTGAAAATATGAACCGAATGTTTTTATAAGGTCTGCTCTTCTCATCTACATAAGCCTCGTTTATTCTGCTCAGTGTTTCAAGCCCTTCAGCAATCTCTCCAAAGACCTACAATGTATAGAAACATAAGACACTATTATATTATATTATATTATATCATATCATATCAAATTGAATATACCCTTTCAACCTTCAATGCCTCCATTCAAAAAAATAAGAAAAGACAACCAAAAAGGCATATATCATAAACCACAATACTCACAGTGTGCTTCCCATCAAGGTAGTCAAGATCATCGCGCAGTGTCATGTAAAACTGGAAAAACAAAAAAAAAATTATAAGAAAGATAACCATGTTCCTATAAGAAAAAGATAGAATTTGAACGAAACATAATATAAAAAACTAATGTTTTTTCACAAGATCAAATAGACTAATTGGTATATATATATATATATATATATATATATATATATATATAGAGAGAGAGAGAGAGAGAGAGAGATACATTGTTGTTTTTATTCCACAAAATCAAAAGTAGAAAAAACAATGTTGAAAATACCTGAGAAGCATTAAGATTTTCTCCTGCACTAGCCATGGCAACTGTACCCATCTTGGAATGCTTCAGATCCAAATGAATCTCATCACCAAAAAAACGAGCTTGATCCCCATACAAAAATCTAAAAAGAAAAATCTGTCAATAAATTTGAAAAAAAAATGATTACAAGTCAATAAAATTCCTTTCTCTTACTTGTAGATAGAATCACCACCAGAACCTGTTCCAGTAGGATCACCTGTCTGTGCAGTAAAATCCTTCTGAACTGTGTGAAATAGACACCCATTGTAATATTTAATCCTGTATCATCCATTATAACAACATTAACATGCATATTCATCTGTATTCATGTTACAATTAACATAGCTGTACAAATATACTATGATAATTTAGCTTTCATTGTAACACCAGGCATAATGAAAGAAGTTGACCAGAGTAATCTGTTTATTCATCAAAGAAAACACAAGAATAATAACAACAATGAAGTTAAAATGGAAACAAGGGCTTACTTGCAGAGTTTCAAGAAATTCTTGCATGTCAGAGGACAACGATCTGTATGCAAATCAACAACAATGTCCCCCAAACTTGTCACAATCAACACCGACATTCCCCTCTTTAACTTATTTTCTTAGATTGCAAATGGAGGTATAAGAATCAAACCTCAAACCTGCTGTCATCAGAGTATCAAGAGTGTAAGGCTTTGTATGCAATTACATCTTGCAAATTTGCGGATACAATGAAAACTACCCATTTTTGCTCGTGTTGTGTGATCATACTCTTAAGTCATAACCCATAACACATTGTAGCAAAAGCTCAATTAAAGGCCTATTACATAACTTAGAAATTTAAATGGGGGTCAAATATAACCATGGAAGGAGCTTGACATGGAATTGCAAAAGCTGCTCTCAAAAGCTTAGAAGCGGCATTAAGTTCATTATGGAAAGAATTTAATCAATAGTAGATTTCTTACAGAAAAAGGTTTCAAAAACTGCAATTCAAACCCTAATTTTCATTCTTCACAATACAAAGGGTCACCACTGCACCACAACCACTAATGATAGAGCCTCAGGAGGAACATGATTACGAACAACTTTCCCATAGAAACTACCATAACAGCAACAAGAAAAATATTCAAAACATACGAACAAAGTATGTTACGGAGGGATAGAAACTGAACCTGATAAGTACAATAATGTACACACAGGTATGGCACGGTAACAGAGATTGGTGCCAATAACGGAGATTGATGAGCGCCGGAGATATAAAGTGACTCGGGTTGCTACACAATTGCCACGGCGTCGGCTGAAGATCCACGGAAGAGAGAAGAACAGAGAGGACGAATAGTAAGTCGTCGATTCAGCAGCAAGGCAACGGGAGAAAAGCTTTGGATGTGCAAAGGAAACTGAACAGCGTGCAGCAACTACCTCGCTTTGAAGGTCGGCGGCGATAAACCGGAAGCGACAATGAAACGGTAGAAGAAGGATCGGCTGAGAGAAGGGGGAAAAGAGTGTGGGCGTTGCGTTGCAAATAGATGAACATCTCCTAATCAAATATTAGAGGGTTTGTCTTAACTTTTAAAATGATTTTTGTTTTTATGTTTTTCTAAAGGTAAAAAGATGTTTTCAATTTTTACAAAAAGTTCTTTTTGGCTTTTAAAAGCTAAGCCAAATACCTTTAAGGTGTTTGGCTAAGCTTTTGAAAGGCAAAAGTTTTTTTAGGAAAAGTTGCAAAAAATCAGGATTTTGTAACTTTTTCAAAAAGTTCATTTTTTTTATATAAAAAAGTAACTTTTACAACATTACCAAACATATTTTACCTTTTTATCTTTTCCTAAAAGTTAAAAGTTGTTTTAAAAGATAAAACAAACACGCCCTAAAACTTAAAACTTTATCTTTATTTAAAAGACAAAGTTCTAAAAATGGTCGATGAGTATTTCTTTTGGATTTTGGTCCAAACTTCTAGAGTAAATTAAACGAATGGTCCCTATAGTTTAGGATAATTTATGCGTTTGGTTTTTAAATTATTTTTTTAACTCGGAAGGTCTCTATTATTTATTTTTGTTACGCGTTTGGTTCTTATCTTACCTAAAAATACTATTTGTCCTTTGATTTTTTAAATTTATTTAAATAAACACACCCCTAACCTAAGGATGACAAAAAACCCCATACCCGATAGGGAACCCGAAACTCGCACCCGTTTTGACTGGGGAATCCCATCTGATTCAAGCAAACAAGAAACGTAGTGGAACCACAAAATTGTGGAAGTGGGATCAAATAAAAGAAATATATAGCAATATGGTTGGCAAGCTTAAACGAAAATGAGACATAGACCTCCCCTGCCAGGTGGTTGGTCCTGATGTACTCGAACTCTTGATTTTCTTGGTATTGACTAGGGGTGGAATTTGTAAGGTACCGAGTTTTTTTTCTCCAAACCGTGTACCGTACCAACTATAGTTGGTATAAGATTTTAGTTACCAGTACCATACCAAGTATACTTGGTACCAATTAATTTGGTTACCAACAAATATGGTTCGTACATATTGGTATTTGGTATATACCAAAATTTTTAACTAATATGTACTATACATGAATATAAGTTGAATTTGTGGACATTTGGTCATTGCTTCACTCGCTTCTGATAGTTTTTTTTTATTTTGAAAACCACTAAAAGGATTAAAAGATTTTCACCATTAGCAAGTTGCTAGAGGAAACAAATGGAAACAGTAGAAGGAATGAGAAGTTAGTATTCATTTTTAAGTTTTAATGTATGTATCACCAATCTCGTGCACATCAAAAAATAAGTATCAAGAAATTTGTCGGTCAATGTGTTAGTTTAGTAAATCTAAGAATTGTTAGTTCTTATTCTAATTAAAACATGAGGATATGAGAACTCATATTTATGAATTCATATATATATATATATATATATATATATATATATATATATATATATATATATATATATATATAAATTGGTTGGTACGGTACAACCGTGGTATTCAAAATTTCATATCGTTACCGTACCAAGACTACTTAATTGGTATGGTATTACCAGCCAAACATATTGGCTACCAAACAACTTGGCTATCGATATAATTGGTTCGGTTGGTAACATGTTGGTTGGTTCTCTGTGGTACATATTTGTCAGCCCTAGTATTGACATGTATGAATTCAATTCCAAGGTATGGTCAGAGGGTATGATTTAGATGAGATTTTTCTTTCAAACATTTCATCGAATATATGTTATGCAAGACTCTTTTCCCTTCTTTTTTCTTTTTTATTCACATGTGTTGGATCTATCATTGTCTTCAAATATTCAATTTAGTAAACAAAAGAAACAAGTATATAGGAGGGCAGATGAGTGATGTTTTCGATGTGCTCAACTTTTGATTAGAACCCAAAACAGAAGAATGAGAGGTTAGGCTTTCTTTTGTGGTTGTGGTGCAATCAAAGACTCAAATGATCGACTACATATTTCCCTCAAAGTATGTAGAGCTATAATTCTGAAAGATCTAGTATGCTCAATAATCATATTAAAGTGATATAACTGATTATTTATTAGAAATTCATTTTAATAAATATTCAATAAAACTCTTATAATTAAATTGGAATTAGTTATTTCATGGAAATAATAATTTTATTTAGTAATTAACATTGCATAATTCATATGGTATTAATTATTAAGTCATGTACATCATTTTGGACTATAAGGTCTTTTGTCTTTTACCTAAATGTTAAGGTATATATTTTATAAACTTAGGTTTTATAAAATATACAAACTACTCTTTTATTCCTTCTTGAAAACCATGGGTAGACAAGAGAAAAGGGAAGAGTGGCTTTTGAATTAGTTTATTCAAAAGTATACATGTCTTAAAGAGCATGGGGGACACATAGGTATAAGGACATGATGTTCTTAAAGTGTTAAGGACTAATGGTCCAAGAATGAGCTTTAAGTAAAGGCTTTCATATCTCATTTGTGCTAGCCCTTGAAACCATAACATGCATAGAAGAATGGGATTCTCTCTCTTTTGTTCATCTTTCCTTGAAGATTACTTGCTTTTACATGCCCTATTTAAGTTCATATTGGTTATGAACTTAAATCTTAAGGGTTTAAGAGTTTATGGATTAGCATCTACATCAAGTTGAGTCATTTGTTGGTGTCCCAAAGATTCCACATTCTTCGTCAACTTCCAAGCCTCCCAAGAGGACCAAAAGAACAACAAAGGTTGTTATTTCTTCATCCTTTCTATGGTTGGTGTTTAATCTTTCTATAACTTGCAAGAAGATTATTGGTGGGTATAAAATGTTTATGTTATGTTCTAAATTTAAAGTCTTCCATTTTCCATATTTTCTAGTTTATGAAACTCTTTTTGAACTAAAACCCAACAAGTTTGTCAACGATCCTAACGATCATGATCCTAACTTCTTGCTTAAGTGTGTTAGTGGTTTAACGAGTTAAGAAGGCATCGTATCATTTTATGACGTTGATATTGTTTTGGTTAGAGTTGTCGATTGTAATTGTTGTGGTATTGACCACTGTCAGCATCATCACTATAGCCTTCATTCTTTTCCTTATTGGTTCAAAAAAGGAAAAAGCATTACTAAGCTTGATACCCTCGAATCAGATGTGTAGCGATTGTGGTGAGAAATCTATCAACACTATATGATGGATTTGCGAGGAAGGGAAACAACATATGGGTCTTAATTTATGTGATCGACTGAGAGGTTAGGAGTTGAGGTACACACTAGCATATTTATTGGTGAAGCTTCCGAAGTCAGGTCTATTGTGGGAGATTATGAATTGACTTAAGCAGTAAGATGTTTTTAGTTACATGGTAGTTGGGTAGAGCTACCACGTATGGAATTGGGGAGGTTCTAAAATGTTTCCTTGTTCAACTTTTGAACAATTGCACTCTAACCCTTATACTCGTTAATTATGTAACATCCATATTTCAACCCAATTTTTTTCGTTTAAACAAAAAGTATTTGTTAAATTTACAACAATAAGGATCTAGACAACACCATTTGATTCAAACATTTATCACAGTATCATTAAATATTATCATGTGCGGAAATCTCCAATGCATGCGATGCAATCGAGTTATACCCCCTCCTTTAACATAAGAAAATATGAAAACATATAAATCACAAACCGTAAGCACAAAGCTTAGTGAGTTCCCCAAAATACCACACACAGCACAACAAAAACAAACATTTATGGGTTATCATCAACCTTGGAGACTACCTGAAGTCTTAGTGGAAAAATAGCACGTCCAGTGGGTTATTAAAAACCCTGGAGACTACTCGAAGTCTCAGCACATACTGTTGGTTTTTGAGCATTCTAACACTCCTAAGTGTACATGCAACCCTAAATACCTTGGATCTATGTTTTCTCTATTATACATGCAAATATGGATATTCCAAGGTATTGCTCTAACTAGCATAATATAAAAATACAAGTAATATAAAAACTAGTAGAATTACATACCTTTTGTTAGTGCTTGATTCCATGGAGCTCAAGACCCTAGTGCCCCAAATGTGACACTTCAAATGATTCACACAACATCATATGCACTTGGAATAACTTAGAGAGAAATCATCACTTCATGAAATCAGCTTGCCCTCCACATACACACATAGTTGCTGATTTTTTCTTAAGAATAAGATGATTATATAGTTGTTACAATTAGGGTAAACCCAAATTGTCATGGCTTTCCATTTCCTTGGATCCATGGGTTCAAATACACCATGAAGCATTCATGGAGTATCCTATGGGTTTTAGCCTAACTTGATAATCCATGGAGTCTTGGCCCACTATAAAAGTATGGATGATTTACACAATCAACCCATATATTTAATTAGTCTTTTTTTTATCACTTAATTAATTATTGATCAATACTAATTAAATAATCTTATTAATATATTAGAACTTATAATATATTAATAAACCTTAAGTGTTATTTCTCTCATTTTAGTCTATCCAAATGCATGATGCCATGCAACCCAAGTGGACCATGTCAGGTCGGGTCAAGTATATATCAGTTATAGTTATGGACTTAGACACTAATCCAACAGTCTCCCACTTGGATAAGTCTAATAACTATTATTTCAAGTACGCCTTCACAACCCGACCAACAATCATAACTCTTAAAAGCTGTTGCCGAACTCTGAACAAATCAGTGACGTGTCTATTAGATAAGTGATCATATATTCCTCTATTCTATATATCATATGGACTGAGACATGGATTATAATCATTCTCTCTGTCCATTTGTTGTTTCCCGATTTCTAATTTATGACGACCGACTAATGAAACAAATCAAATTAGTCCAGGCTCGGTCGAGCACTTACATTTTGTCATCACTAAATCATCGAGGGGCCCACATATATCGCTTTTACCCCTTTGAGGGTAAAAGGAATGGATAAACTTCGACTCATATGCTTGTATGACTACTTGTTGAATCATACACAAAGGCACGTTTTATAACATCGAGTTACCAATGCGTTTTCATGCAATCAATGTATAACTAACTCATAGTCAACAACTCATATCTATAGGTTTGAAGAATATAAGATATTATCATCTCACGATTCACTCGTGATAAAATCCATGAAGTGAATCCAAATGAGCGTGGGTTGAATCCAATACTCAAAACTTATGAGCACTCATGAATGTTGTAGCAACCATTGCTATGTCTAATGCACATTAGACAAATCTTACAAGCCAGATTCATGACAGTTTTGATTCATATCTACTTCTAACATATGACCGACTGTGGATGGTTTGAATAACTTAGTCATTCGGGAAGAATGACCCAATTATTCTGGAAGTCAAAACATGCAAAGTGAAACACAAAAATAATACATATCTTGTATGGCCTCAATACTTTGAGTGTAAATAAAACACCTTTATCTAAGCACCATATGGATTACTCATTATTCATGTTTCGATTAATCAACTTAATACTTGAATTAAAACAGTTGTGATGCAATGCTCCAAGCATGCACATTATGCTTATCTAAAAAATAGTTATGATATATTCCAAGTATGCACACTATGTTTATATATGGTCCTCTCTTTGTGAAACAGATCGATTGACAACAATTCAATGATGCTTACTTCACAATTCCAATCCTTATTGTAAATGTAATGATCCCTTTTAATGACTATGCACATAAGTCACAAAGACTTGGAGACAGAAATTACAGAGTTTTCCAATGGAAGGAAGTTCCATGGAAATGAAGTCCCAAATTCAAATTACATTCCTTTGAACATCCTTCTCTGCAGTACGTTCTTTAATCATACACAGATTCAAAGAATAACTTCCACCTATGGAAACAATTCCATATTCCGATTTTAACCATCACTTTTGAACAATAGTTGCCTCTTTTCAAGATATGTCAATATGGTCCTCACTCTATACTTCTAATTGTCCATGAGCAACCAATCTTTGGAAAATCTCAAATTGTTCTCGACAATTGCTTAATCATTTTAGTCATATCCAGTTCTAATCCCCTTTCCCTTCTTAATGCCATAAGCATTTGGAAAATTTAGAACGGATAAATATTATAGCACATGTAATCAACCCTATACCCAAAGCATATGGGACATGATTCATGCTATAAAATTTTTATTTTCCATGTTATCGCAATTCAAACTATGATGAGGTATGTCGTAATCATAATCGAATTTTGAGAACGTAACATATATAAAATTTCCTTATGTTGAACCATTCCAACATAACATTCATATATATCCTTGACTAAAGTTGATTAAAATCTCAATCTAAGCTTGTAGAATTTGGAATGAAGTATAAAATCCTCTCCCTTAATTATAGGAAAACAACTTTTCAAAGTGAATTGAAACTTTTGTTTTCTATAATTAACATTGCTAATCTGCAACATAATCATCATGCTCCCACTAGCATAATTACTATTATCTTACTAGCATAACACCTATGCTCCCACTAGCTTTGACATGTATCTAGAAATCAACTGGACCTCTAGAAATCAATACTTTATTGTCTTTCTTACCAAAGTTCAGACTGATAAATCAAAGAATCGAGTATAGAATGAATTATAGTGTGAATTCAAAGTAAGTATGAGAGATTTGAACACCGGTGTAAATATGATCTGTTTGGCTCTATTACGCTTTTTCAAAGTTTACAGAGTACATTGAATATTCTGTAAAGACTTCGTTACTAAGACACTAGTAACTTCTCTTATTTATAGGAGAGGAAAGCGTACAAAAAATATACTAAGGACTAAAACATTATGCTTCGAATATCATGCCCTAGTAAAATAAAATTACAGAAATGTTCGAAGACCCTAAATACAAACTTCGACAATTACAACACTTCAACCCTAACAATCTCCCCCTTTGTAATCAAAGTCGAAGTCTTCAGTTTGTAAGTAGAGTGATTGAGTATAGCAAAACTCTTCGAACTTCAGTGTACCAAGAAATAATCTTTTTCAATTCCTTCTTATCACCTTCATTATTCTTTTTACAGTGGTTCATACGAACAATTAATTTCGTATATTGAGATGTTGAATATCTCTCCACTTTGCTGGCTTGAAACAAAAATCTCTTCGCTTTTCCAGCTTTATCCTTCCCAGCAAAAACAATTCCAAATGGCTTTAAACATATTTCCCCATCTGCAAACTTCTTTAACTCAGTCTGAGTCAACGAAGGATCCATTGGAACTTTAACGTCCATTCCCTTTGCAGTTGCCAGCTCCACATCAGTTAGTGCAAGGCACTCATAATAATTTTCAATGAAAATTTTGATGTGAGCAACTCCAAGTTTGAATTCTTCAGGATCGATATTTTGCAAATAAGAGAAAGATTTGTCTTTAAGAAGCAATGCAACTTGTATAAGATCATACAAGTTCATCAGAGGAAAGTCAGCAATGGTGAATTCGCACGTTTTACCATTTGCCTTGGCCACAATGTATTTAACATTTTGAACAATATTTTCGAAGAGCACATCTTTCTTCATGCTAATCACCTTTTTAATCTTGATTAGTGACCAGACTTCCTCAGGTGCTTTACCAAGAACTGCATGAAATCGAATCTTCATATGGGTTCCTTCATTCTTTTCTTTGAAATTCCCTTCTGCTTTGAATAGAGGCATGATGAACATCATCTCATTAACAGGGAATCCAACTAGCAAGCGTCAGTGTTTGTAACCACATAACTCTGTTTTGGCTTCTTATCAAAAGAGTACATGTGGTTAAAGGCAACCAAGGCTTCGATTGTTTCATAATTGTAATGCTTAGCTGGATCACCTTTATTCATGCCCTTCGGATCTCCAGCCCTCTGAGTCATGATGCTTTGAATAAGCCTCATTCTCTCGAGTTTAGCTTCAGCTTCAGCCTTCTTTTCTTCTTTGGATTTATAAACTAAAATTGATTTGCCTTTGTCTTTCGAAGCAAATTTTTCAGTTAAGTCTTTTGGCTTCGAACCACTCCCACCAAACTCCAAAGGTTTACCAATAACAATTCCTTTAGAAATTTTTCCTGTAATTGGCAATGTTGTAACAATTGTTGAAGTCACTGGTTAAGCAGACACAAACATTGGCTTTGTTGATGGGATGTTCTAAGGGAATACCTTGCCCACAAGTTTTGCTTCTTTTTCTGTGGACTTCCTTTCTCCCCTTGCACCCCTGTGAAAACAGGAGGGGCAGTTGTTGTGGGGAGAAGACTAGATATTCGAAAGAGTGGAGCAAGTTGCTTGTTTAAAATAGCTTCGAACTATAAAAACTTTTGTGACACAAATTCAGGAGTGATCAACGGAGACGAAACTGGTTTTGTTGATATCTCCTTCAACTCTTTCAACAGCTTCATCACTCCTTCAAAATTTTCATTTTCAGACTTGGAGATTTAAGCAATTTGTGGACTCAAACCTTCATACATCTTGACAAATTTAGTAACAACATCACATATGATATCGACCTTCTGATGTAAGGACACATAATCATGTTGAACAGATAAAATTTCATTGTTCATGTCTTCACGAAGCTCTTGGATTTTCGAATTCACATCCTCCCTCACTTTCTTAACCTCCTGAACATAAAGAACATGTCGTTCTTTTGTTACGTTTCGTAGATCTTTCACTTCTCCCAGAAAATCAGATCTTTGAGTTTTAAGACAAAGCTCATTTGTTTGATCTGAGTAATCAATCTTCTCCATAAGCAGTGTCTCTGAAGCCTTCAACATGCCTGACACTTTGGAAATTATTCTGGATTCACACAGCTTCAACATTGAATCAACCTCCAAACTGGAAATTGATGAACCCCCTCCAAGATCAGCTTGGGATTGAATAATGGAGTTCAACTTTTGCTTTAAAATTTTGTATTGTTTCATGGTCATGAGCATGTGATCAGGGAAATCTTCTTCTTCATCATGAAATTCCAAATCTTCGAATGTACCTCCAAACCCTTCATGATCTGTTTCAGTGGGTGAAGTTGGTTTGGGGGTATCAGTTGATTGAGAGGAGAACACGGAAGTGATCGGTTGATTGATAATGTGTTCGAAGGTTGGAGGGATAGTAGTTGAAGTAAGAGGAATGTTTGATGTTGGTGTAACAGAAACTAATGATTCAAAAGGAGTAGAGATGAATGGACCTTGGTTTGCATTCTTCGAAACATTTTCACCCAAGCCTGAAGTTCTCACCTCCTCAAAAATTGACTTGGAAATCGAAACTTTAGGGGTGATTATGACAGTGGTCTCTAGAATTGAACTTGTAAGAATAGAGGTGACTTCCAGAGTTTCTGGTACTCGTTCATCCTCTTCTGTAGACTCACTTGATGAAACAATCTTCCGAGCCTTCTTCGTCTTCTTCTTCTTTGGTTAGGATAAATGTTTTTCCAAGTCTTCTGCTGCTCGTTTCTTGGATGCGGGATAAACAGGAACAAGAACCTCACGAAACAATACTCCTTGATGAGAAAGTTGAGGTTTACGAAGCAGTTTCTGAGATGAAGACTTGCGTTTATGCATGGATTTCATCTTTATTCTTTGAAACATCCATGTTTTCGAAGGAATAACCACGTTTTCTTGTGACTCTTCCACTATTGGCGTAATCACTTGCGTTGCTTCGACTGTCATAGCAACATTTTCTGGCTTCTTCTTTGGATATTTGGATGGTGTTGAGCCCTACGCTTTCTTCTCAGGTGAGGTAGGCTCAACTTTCTTCGACTTCTTGGTCTTCTTTTCTTTGCGTGGTAATAAGATTCCCATAGGAATAGAAGAATCGAATGTTTTCAAATATCCCTGCAAGACAGGATTTGAAGGATCCACCCTTCTAAGCATTGCATTGGGAATCCGAGCAACACTTGGAAATTTGTCAGCATCGTCAACAACCTCCTTTAGAAAATGGTAAGACTGAAAAGTAACCTTTTCTTCTTCATTGGAGACCAGAATACATTCCTTGTTGTAGAAATGTTGCGAAATCATACTCCAGTACCGAGCACACGAAATGCCATGAACAACATTCGTGTGTTCCACCCCTTTCTGGAACTCCTTCCACAGCTGTGTGGAGTAATCGGCAGGAAGATCATAATACAAACCAGCCACCATGGCATATACCTCCATCCTTCCTTTATCCAAGCCAACTGTTCTTCCGGTTAAACAATGCAAAAATATTCCAAACAAAAACTTCCATAGTTTTGGAAGACCAGACTTCTTAAAGTCACTGATCTTTGACAATGAGGCTGATATCCCATTTCATTAAACATATGAATGATCTGAGAGAATTGAAATTCAACAAATAGAGGTGTATTTGGAATTTCAAGAATCTGGCAAAATAGTTTCTTAGAAAGCCTAACCTTTTTATCATTGATTAAATGAAAGGTAATCGAATCAGTGGCTTTGTTGTATGTAGCTGTAGATCCTGCTTGAAAAAGCCAGGATACCAAAACAGAAAAAGAGTTGAACATTGCTTTTGATAAAACAGAGTGTTTTAACAAAACAATTAGCATCTTGAATTCCTCCAGACACTGCGAAAGTTCACCATCTACATAATAATTGGTAGATTGAATCTTCATAACTGGTACTGAGGATGTATCTTCGGTGGAAGCATCGACATGAGAAGTAGTCGCGATTTTTAGGGTTTAAAGAAGATGAAGAACAGAGAATTTTGAGAATTTTTGAGTGTTTGATCGCGTAAACGGTATAATGTACTCTAGACCCCCCTTTTATATGTAATGTTGGATGATTTAAATTTAAAGCGGGATGCATTTAATGAGATCCGACGTGCCACCTTGAAAATCGGACCAGTTCTGTGGAAAGTTAGCCGTGCATTAAAAAGTGTTTGTCACATCTCCTAGAAAACCGGGCTGAATACCATACGTCACGGTTACACAGCCTGTCACTATCCCCTTTATTGAGTTGTAACCGTTAGAACCCTTCGAATGGAGGCAAGGCTCTTTCACTTTTGGGATGAAAAGCGAAGTCATATGCCAGATGTTGGAAATCATTAGCCTGAATTGGTATTACTCAGAACCTCAAGGATTTTGTGTGTGTAGTGTGCCAAAGAAATGTTAGACAAGAAACAATTAATTTTTTTTTTGGAATGTAGTGATGTCAAAAATGCAATTTGACACGAAGGCAGTTAAACCCCGGGCAAAGGTTGCTTCGTTAATCATCAAGAGAGATGATCAACAGCTTGTGTATGTTGCCATGAAGTACAATCAACTACTTTTTGATAAGCATCAAAGGGCTTCTTTGAAAAGTAATTATTGGGTTGGTTTAAAATTTCGTTACATGTCAACCTAAACATAAGGTGATAAACTGTAACAGAAATTACTTGTTTGATCAATGTAGTCAGTGACAAGTTAGCTTTGAAAAATGTGATCATGACAAGGATATTCGAATGAAACTCACACTGAAATCATATTCATGAAAAAAAATTTGTGTTCTGGATCTTGTTAGGTAACAAACATCGTGGGTTTCGAATGTTTGATCAAGACCACGCATTCGAAATGAATATGATTTGGAGTTTCGAATTTTGGTACGGAAACAAAAGTTTCGTCAATATCTGGAACAATGTTCCCCGTCAATTCCTTAAGTTTCAAGATGTTTGGGTTTCACTTTCATCACGGACTCATGATGTCAGATCATTAACACAGAATTTTTGTATATCTAGGACACATGATGGGTTTGATCAGAGACCTCTCGGACATACGTCTTTGTGTGTGATCGTGTAAGAATGTATTGATGAAAAAGATTGGTGTAAGACACGAAAAGTACCTCTGTTATGTTGTAGACCAAACAAGAAACTCTTAACTCATTGTGAGAAGAGTAAGGTAGCTTAGAGACTAATGTGAATATAAGCCTGATTGGGAAGAAATTTTCGTATGAAAAAATTCATTAAGGCTTTTGTACACACACATTGAGTCGTGAAGGCTTTGGTCGACATGCAGCAACATGCTTCTAGGGACAACCTAACTAATTCGAATAATGAAAAAGATAATGATGCATAGGAAAAAAAATTACCTGTCCCCAATACTGCCTGCTTTTTCCCTTCCAAATCATCATCAAAGTCTGCAACAAAATTCTGAAAAGAAGTTAAAATTATTTTTGTTGTTTTTGAATTTTCGAAAATTAAGACAAAAAAGTGAAAATCTTTTTGGATTTTTCGAAAATTTAAAGACAAAACAAAAGAAAATCTTTTTGGATTTTTAATTTTTCGAAAATATAAAGACAAATGTACGAATATTTGTGTTTTTGATTTGTTGCAAACAAACGAATATTTGGCATTCTTTGAAGAGTAACAAATGTACGAATTTGAAGCGTTCGAAGCGTTGACTATGAACAATAACCACTGACTCAACGTTGAAGATCAGTGACAATCATGTGAATTCGAAGCGGTCGAAGCGTTGACTTTGAACAGTAACCGCTGAATGCTGAATGACTTTATTCATCGCCTCTGACGCATTCTTTTTCGCTTATTATTCGTCTTTTTCGCATGGAACAGAATTTCCATCGATCATTCCAAGACCTTCTATTATTCGCATTAGAGACTTTTCATCCAAAACTTTCGTGAAAATATCAGCTAACTGATCAGTTGTTTTCACGAAATGAAATGTGATCTTTAATGAAATGATAACGAAGAGTTATGTGTTTAGTCTTCGAATGCTGCACAAGATTATGAAAAATTCTTATTGCACTTTGAGAATCACAATATAATGGAATCTTTTTCATATTAATTGCATAATCACTTAATTGACTTTGAATCCATATTATTTGCGAAGTGCATGCAACAGCAGCCACATATTCTGCTTCAGCCATGGAAATCGACACACATGTTTGTTTTTTCGACTACCAACTGACTAGTTTTCCATCAAGAAATTGACATCCACCACTTGTGCTTTTTCGATCAAGATTACAACCACCCAAGTCTGCATCTGAATATGCTTGAACGAAGAATCTTGTTTTCGAATGATACCACAATCCTAACGAAATAATGCCTTTAAGATAACGAAAAATATTCTTCACATCAGTAAGATGTGGTTCGCGTGGATTAGACTGATACCTAGCACAATTACACACAGAAAACATGATATCAGGTCGACTTGCTGTAAGATAAAGTAACGAACCTATCATGCTCTTATACAACATTATATCAACAGCAGGTTTGTCTAACGATGGTGTTAGCTTTATGCCCATTGCCATTGGTACACGAAGCTTTGTGCTATTCGTCAATCCAAACTTTTCAAGCAGATTTTTCGTATATTTTTCCTGATTGATGAAAATCTCTTCTCTGTTTTGACGAATATTCAATCCAAGGAAATTATTGATTTTTCCCATCATGCTCATTTCAAACTTGCTTTTCATCAAGTCTTCGAATTCTCTAGATAAAGCAGGGTCAGTCGAGCCAAAAATAATATCATCAACATAAATTTGAACAAGCATAAGATGATTCCCCACTTTCTTTCAAAATAGTGTGGGATCAACAGATCCTTGTTTAAATTTAGATTATTTCAAAAATGATGTAAGAGTTGCATACCATGCTCGTGGTGCTTGTTTTAGACCATAAACTGCCTTATCTAAAATATAAACATGATTAGGAAATTCTTCGTTAAGAAAACCTGGGGGTTGTTCCACATAAACCATTTCTTCAATCTCTCCATTAAGAAATGCACATTTCACATCCATTTGATAAGCATCAAAATCTTTGTGAGCTGCATAAGCCAGAAAGATTCGAACCGCCTCGAGTCTTGCAACAGGGGCAAAGGTTTCTTCATAATCGATTCCTTCTTGTTGTGAATAGCCTTTTACAACAAGTCTGGCTTTATTTCAAACAATGTTTCCATGTTTGTCGGTTTTATTTTTAAAAATCCATTTTAACCCGACAATCGAAACATTTTCAGGTTTAGGAATTAATCTCCAAACTTTTTTTCGTTCGAATTCAGACAATTCCGATTGCATTACAACAACCTAATATGAGTGTTCCATTGCATTCTTAAATGTTTTTGGTTCAATTTTAGAGATGAAAACATTAAACATGCAAAATTCTTGATGAGTATTCAGTATCTCATTCTTTGCACGAATTTGAGCTCTTGTCATCACTCCTTCTTGTGGATTCCCAATCACTTGATCCTTCGGATGGTCTCTAGTCCATTTTTCCATGGGTCGATATGCTGGATCAAATTCCAAAGGAGCATATTCAAATATTTCATCATATTCTGAGCCTGCATTCGAATATGCATCATCAACATTATGCTCCCCCTCAACAACATGCTCCCCCTCAATTTCAGCATTCAATTGTTCTTGCTCCCCCTCGAAAGAATGCTCTTCATCATTCAAAGTATTTGAATCCAATTGCTCCCTCTCCAAAGGACTATCATTCATAGTTTCACCTTCTTGAGGAGTCGATGATGATTCATCAGTAAGTTTTGAAAATTCTGGAATGTGATTATCAGGAGCATGAACTTCAACATCAACTGCATGATCTGAGATGCCAAAAATCAAATCATAATCAATATCATCCATTTGTATAGATTCAGTTTCAATTTGTGTTTCTTGTAAAATTGGATGATTCAAAAATTGATGTTCATTTGATTTAACATAATAATCATCGAATGTGAGATTGAACGTTTCTTCCACTTTTCGTGTGCGCTTATTTAACACTCGATAAGCCACTGAATTGTATGAATATCCAAGAAAAATCCCTTCATCAGCTTTTGCTTGAAATTTCGAAAAGTGATCCTTGAGATTCATAATAAAGCACTTACATCTGAAAACATGAAAGAACTTCACATTAGGTGTAACATCCCGGAATATCAAGAGTAGAGTTGAAGTGCTAAAAGTGTAAATTTGAAGGGCAACTCAGCGAGTCCATGGATGGACTCGGCGAGTAGGGTCGCGACTTTGGTCGCGTGTTAAGTGGCCTACTTGGCGAGTCCAAAGATGGACTCGGCGAGTAGGTGCTGAGTGGAGAAAACCCTAATTTCGGTGGATGAGCCCTATATAAAGGACATTAAGCCCTCTTCCTAGTCTCCTTACCTTCCCTTGATACCAGAAAATCCTAGAATCGTGAGTGTAAGGGATTGGAGTGCAATTGAACCTTGGAAAAGAGATTTAAAGGAAGATCTTGGGGAGTTAGGAGGCTTGGAGCAAGGGGCATTGCTTGGATTCAGATTCCATTGTTGTTAGGGATTCATCTTGAGGTAATATCTCGTTCTTGGGTTGTGTTCTTCTAGATTCATCATTTTGGGGTTGTGTGGGAAGCTTAGATTGTGGTATCTTGAGTTTGAAGGATAGATCTGAGGTTGCTACCTCAGATCTGGAGTGGAGAAGGACTTAAGTGCATTAAAGTCCCTGTTCTTGTGTAATTGGTGAAGCCATCATATCCCAAACCCTAGCCCTAGAGGATAAAATGCCTAGATCTCTTTGGATTCACATAAAGTTTGCCACTTTACGTGATGGATGGCCTTAAGAGGGGTAGATCTATGGTTTGGATCATCTGCATGGCTTAGAAATCCTCTGTATAGATTCAGACCCCATCGTACTCGGCGAGTTACATGGGTGTACTCGGCGAGTTGCTTGAAGAAAGGCTGGAACTCGGCGAGTTGGAAGAACAACTCGGCGAGTAGGTTAAAGATGGTCGTAGACTCGGCGAGTCTGTTCTTGGACTCGACGAGTCTGGATGTAGGGTCCAAGTTCTTTTGGAAGTGTTGTGATTCGGTGAGTTATGTGCGAGTGGGCTCAGAGTTATTGGACTCAGCGAGTCTCGGGGTGACTCGGCGAGTTAGGTCGCGAATTGAAGGAGGTTCTGTGTATGAGGACTCGGCGGGTCATCGGGTTGACTCGGCGAGTAGAGTCAATCAGGGGTAGACTTTGACTTTGACTTTGACCAAGGGTTGACCAGTTGATTTCCAGGGGTAATTTGGTAATTATTGGTATTTATTGGATTCAGTCTTTTGGGTGTTGACAGTGTTAGAGTTCGGGTCGGAGGCTGCAGCAGCGTGATTTTATCCTTTCAGTCAGCAGTTGCGAGGTGAGTTATCCTCATTATATCAACAGGGTCTAAGGCACCAAGGCCGACCCTTTATCGGATTGAGATCCAGGTATCTGTTGTTATGTTATTGCTTTGATATGTTTGCATCCGGGTAGTTAGGATGGTATTCATTAGAGACCTGGTTAAGGTCGGTATCCTGGTAGATAGGATGATGCTATGCTAGTGATCGGTTAGGTCGGTATCCTGTTAGAGTAAGTTGTGTTATGTGATCTGCTAGATCGGTTTGATTGAATATGAATTGTTATGTGATTGTATGTTTATATGCACATGGTTGTTTGGACTGGAGTTGGGTTGAGGCGGGTCCTGCTTCGTGCTGTAGGCCAAGATACCCAGGGCGGATCGGTTGTTCCGAAGGCCCAGCGAGCGGTCCGGATAGGCTGTAGGTCCCACGAGGGCGGACCAGACGTGCTGAGGCTCGGAGAGTGGACCAGGCCGACTGAAGGCCCGATGCGGGCGGACCAGTCATACTGTAGACTCAGAGAGTGGACCAGGTGGGTTGAAGGCCCGGTGCGGGCGGACCAACCACACTGCAGACTCGAAGGATATGACTGGACTCGGAGGGTAGACCAGGTGGACTAAAGGCCCGACACGGCGGACCAGTCTCACAGTCGACCCGATATGCATGGCTGTTTTGTGATTCGTTATGATATAGCATGTTATGTGTATGGTATATGTGGTTGGTATTTTGGGGGTATCTCACTAATCTTTCGGGCTTACAGTTGTGGTTTAATGTTTTTCAGGTTCTTCAGGAGACTGTGGCAAAGCAAAGGCGTGATCGCACCGCTCCTCGTGTTTATGTTTTATGAAATGGACCTGGGAATATTTTGATAATAAATGTATTGAAAACCTTTTTGTAATAACTTAATGAATTGGGTTGTTTTTGAAAAGTTTAAATTTTATTGAAATTTTGGGTCGTTACATTAGGTTTTCGATTATTCAGAATTTTGTATGGTGTAATATTAAATCTACGATGAATGAACGATCTTTTTTGAGTAAAACATGCAGTTGATACAGCTTCAGCCCATAGATATTGAGGTAAATTCGCATATGCCAACATGGTTCTTGTCGCTTCGCATAATGAGCGATTTCTAAGTTCTAAAACACCATTTTGTTGTGGTGTGTATGGAGATGAGAAATTATGCAAAATTCCTTTGTCCACTAAAAAGGAATCAAGAATTTTGGGTTGGTGAATAACAAGATCCAACCACTGAAAGAGACTTGGAACTGTCTCCGGAGATGAATCACTATAGTCCAATGATTTGACTACAGCATGATTCAGATATACTCTAATGAAAGAACGATAAGAGTACTTAAATGAAGAATGACACAGAAGTTAGCCGGCTGTCAATATCTTTGATATTCACGATGTAAAGATTCTGGAAAATGACCTTGTAAAGGTCTCACATCATATCAGGAGAAGATAGTTCCTGACAGCATAAAGGCCTAGCTAAAGTACTTACGGAACAAGATAATTTCATAGAAAATGCCACATCCGGCATAGACAGGAAAATACGATTCCTTTTTATAAGGGAAATAAAGTAAAGCGTCTACTACTGGCGACGGTCATCCCTCTGGTGAACTCGTAGTTCAACCAATTGACGTTCCATGTCAAGTAGGTGTCTTTCGCACACCATTTGGCGTACTCGGAGCTCTATGACTTCGGCTCGTAATTCGGCCAATGCTTGCAGCAGGGTTTCATGGTTTCTCTTTGATCTCTCGTGTGCATCTTCTAGATGAATGGTGTGGAGGGTATGCATTCTAGCATAGGCGACTACTTCCGTAATCTGATGTAGGGCTGTCCTGCCTTGAATCTCATTTCGGGCCACTCTGTGGACCAAGATTGGCAAGACTATACCTGCTAACCCCTCATTGCTTCAAGTCGTAAAAGCTTCGGTCGCCATCAAATAGCATAGACTGTTCTTATCCTTGGCTCCTTGTTTCCATGCATTCCCCTCACTCAGGGGGGGTCGGGCCATGAAAAGTCGGACTAGGGTTAGGAATTGGAAAGGGAGCTGCTCGGGGTAGGTTTTCAAACTCTAGTTCGGAGTTAGCATCATACGAAAGGTCTTTGTCATGGTGATCATTCAAGGGGAAAAGGATGATCATTCTCGGGTTATTCTCCAAACCAACCAGCTATGACTTCATCCGGAAGGTACTGGTTGCCGAGGGGATGGAGTCCAGTTATGTTTGCTATGCGAGAATTTAGGGTAATAGAATAATTATTAGACGAACTATCGAGATAATTATTTAGAAAATCTTCATTAGTTACATCGGTATTTGTGAAGTGCATACCAACTATGTGTAATCTAAACAGGATAGACCTTCGAATAAGTGACCTTAATTCCAAATTCACACAGAATAGGGGTAAGGAAAAATTATCACAGATTCTAAGTCTATAACATCCTAATTACATATAGCCTTAGTGTATCCACTTAACAATTATCAACTTAGTAATGAAGATCCCGTTTTAAATTCTCAAGTATAAAGTACTTCTAGTAACACCAAATACTCCTATAGTATTTTAAATTTTAATGTTATGTTCTATTGTTCTCATTGTGGTAGGGTTGGTAAGATTTTAGTATTGTTGCAACCACACACTTAAACTTAGGCACATGCTAGTCAACCCTCAGATAATATAGGTGATCAGGCTATATCTTCCCAGTTTTGACCATATGTCTCTAAGCCCACTTGTGTTGCCCAACAATCGTAATTCTTTTGTACTGTCCTAGGGACACTGATTTTAGTATGAATGCAGCACGTATACTTACTTAAATATTTTACTATTTAAAGTATAAACTCTTGGTCATAGTATTTTTAATCCCTTATGTATTTATAGTTAGTATATCTTTTATGGGTTGATATACTTAATTCACTATAAACAATGCTCTGATACCAATCTCTCACACCCCAAAACCAGGAACGGCGGAAACGTTCTGGGGCGGAGGACGTCATGTATAATATCAACAACAATGTAAAGTAGTAAACAAGCAACGACATCATCCATTGCATTAATAATATAATTATTATACAAATATGTTCTGTCAAATTTTGATGAACACTAAAGCATAAATCAAAATGAAAGATAAGTCTTGAACAAGCTCCATCTTCCTTTCTCCGTGCATCGGTACCTATCTATGATGACCTGAGGATACAAGTAATTTTGAAAGCGAGTATCAGCTTTGAAGCTGGTGAGATCATAAGTATTTAGTGTCTTAATTTGTATGTAAGAATTTGTATGTGAACTGTAAGTATGAAAATGTTTGTAAGACAACTGTAAACATTTGAAAAACCTTAGAAATCCCTATGATTCCTTCTAGTATATGAAGGTGTCTTCTACAAAGACCTAACTGTTCTGTGTGTGTGTGTGTCTCTTGTAAGAGGATGCATTTTCCAAAGTATAACTATCATTATCCAAAAATATAGTTTGTACATTTATGTTTAAGTGAGGTTATCTCTAAAAATATGTAATGGA